CCCAGGCTCGGGGTGTCTTTAGCTGGGCAGCAGCTTGGAGCTGTGAGTCCCAAGGCTGAACTTGCAGGAGCAGCATATCTAGTACATTGTTCAATCGACCGGCTCAGTAGCAGTGCTTAAAAACCATCTCCCATCTGTATTTAGCAAAAGCCTGTGAGTGGTAAAATATGGGAGAAATGCCTTCAAAAAAACAGCTGCAAATGATTAGACAAAACAGTAGAAGAAGTGACTTGCTGCTGTCTATTCTGTGTGCAGGGCTGTTAAAAGTGTTTTCCTGACCTACCCTTAATGTGCAGAAATGATTTTCCTACCAACCCCTGTGTAAATCTCCTGACAGCAGGACTGAGCTTTGCCCTGCTCCAGGTGTACCACCTGAGTGGACATGGGGAACCCCCACTGTGTGGGCTGCTGAGGAGAAACGGATGTGGATAGATTGTTTGCCCACAAGTCAGAAGGAGCACACACAGTGTCTAAGGATCAGAAACAGAGTATGTGGGTGTCCCTCTTCGCAGTGATGTCCTTGGGGACTAACTGTGTCATGGGATGACCTGGCAAAACTCAGGCATCGTTTCTGGAAGTGGTGCACCCCCAGCGACTGGTGCAGGGCGGTGCTCTGGGGATGCTGCTCCTCTCGGCCACGGGAGCGGTAGGACAAGGAGGGACAGAGGCTGTGCTTCTAGAGCCCTGCGCGCAGGGAGTGCTGCCCTGGCTCTACCCCTCGCACCAGCGAGCTGAGAGGCAGCCTGCTGTGTAATGGCAGGGTGACCGAGCAGTGTGGAACGAGCCACAGTCCTAACTCCTTTCTTTTGACCAAAATTATTGCTTTGGTATTAGCCCTTTGATTGAAAGCTGCTGGCAGAGTGCATCCAGATCAGGTTCTTTATTCTGCTGTCTCCCTTGGATTTCATATTGCTGAAGGCTGAACAGCCTCCCTGGTGTGCACGTTCTGCTGCTGCTCTCCCCCTGCCAAACCTCTCTCTTCCTGCTGGCTGCTGGTCGGGATGCTGCAGCCTCCCCACTCTGCTGCTGCTGCTTTCGTGAAGAGCTGTTTGTTTGCACTTGCACATGATTAAAAACCTCATCCTTGGAAATGGCAAGCTGAGGCTGCAGCAGAAACTGGTAATGAAATCTGCTTACAGGCAGCTCAGGAGGAGGGGACGTCTCTGAATCTCTGCCTTTGCCCGTGATTCACTGTGCACTGGGAACAAATGGGAAATAAAGGGGTCAAGACAGCCCGGAGGAGGGAGGACAGAGATGATGAAGAGAAGCCTTTTCTGCACAGTGTGGTCAGGGAAGAAGACCTAACCTTCTGGAGAGCATGTATTAACCAAAATTAAGTCAAAGATTACCACTCAGACTTAATGTGATTTCTTTCACCACAATTCCAGAGGAAATGGTGTTGGGCTGAGGGGTTGCATTGCAATTTTAAGCCAAATGAGGCTAGAACTGGAGCAAGAAATAAGGTGAGCATGAAGAAACTGAAGTGCCTTGAGCAGGGAGGTCAGAGGGCTGGAAAAAGAAGACCTTGGCTGCTTAAGCCATATTTTATTTGCACTACAGTGTCCATTAATGTGCCCTTTGGAAAGGTGACGGCAGCCAGTGCCAGGAGGGGAAGTCCCAGGCAGCCCTGGAGTGGAGCGTATGCTGCAGTTTCTTGGGGGATGGGAAAAGGGAAGAATATCTATGGTAGGGAAACAATATGTGCAGGGACAGATTGCCCTCAGCCTCACTGGAAAGCTCCCAGGGAGTCTGGCTGCCCCCGACTGCTCCCTAGCTGGAGCCCATCTCACAGGCATGTTCCATGAGACCAGCAAAAAGCACATCGCCACTGCTCTTCTGCTGCTGCTTCAGCTCCTGCACCAGAGGAGGAAAGTATTAAAACGTTACAAGGAAATGGATCCTGAAAATGTTTCTAACACGGCTTAACCTTTCCAGAGCGTGGCTTCTTAATAAGAGTGATGTTCTGCTTGGTGTTTCTACAAAAGCCCTGTGTGGCACTGAATCCCTGCTGTGAAGGATTGCAGCCCCTGGAGGTCTCAGTTCTGGAAAAGCTCCAAGCAGCTGAAACCAGGGTTTAAGGGGATGAAATGTGTGTGGCACCGTCGGCCGTGACAGTGTTACCAGCTTGGCTGCTGCCCAATCCCACACATGCTTCCCATCCTAGCAAGCTGCAGTGAGATCCTCGGGGGTTCTTCTTCTTCCCCAACACCTGGGCAATGCCACCTGTGACTCCTCTCAAAGCAGGTTGGGTGCCATGGGATCGGCCCTGCCCACTACATGCTGGGTCATCGTCTATCCTCAGGACAGCAGGAGCAACACTTGTGGGTGTGTATCCACACACGGGGAGCTGTACGCCTGGGTACCTACCCTGGCACACAAGCCCAACCTCTGACATTTCTTTTCTGGCTGGATTTTCAGCCAAACTTCACCTGTCATCTCTGAACACTGTATGGGGAGAGAAGAGCCTCGGCAGCAGCTACAGGAGCCCTCCCTCTCATCTCCTCCAGTGAACTTCACTGGAAAGCTCAGAATGCCACAATTCCTCCATGCACAATGTTTTAATTAAAACCTCTCCACTGAAAGGTCAGAACAGCTTGACTCTGCTGCCCATGCACTGACAGCAGCCAAAGCCAATGGCTGTAAACAAAATCCCTCCCCACCTGGGGAGAAAGTGCTGAGGAGCCTCTCCCGGAGCAACCAAGGGCAGGCAGCAGTGACAGTCCCCATGCCCCACTCCTGCCATCTGCCTTGAGTCATCGCTGCCCAGCACCTGGCTTCTTGTGCTCTTTATGAATAATACACAGCTCCTCCTCAGTCTTCTCATCTCCTCTCCAGCACTGCTTCATCTGCTGCTCCCCTGAGATGACAAGCTTATTTTTAAGCACTGGGTGCAACGTGCTTTTGCACTTCTAATATATGGGTGCTGGTGAGCTGCCAGATGCACCAAACCCCATCGTTTCATCCTCTGTCATCCTGTGCATGTGACAAGCTGACTCAGTGCTCATGTTTGGACACTTAATTGTGTTGCTAAGACAGGCACTTTCTCTGCAGAAGAAAATGTTACTTCCTGTGATGTTCCCAACCACAATTATGGCAGATTCAGCTGAAACTTCCAGACATGTGTTCTGGTTGAAGTTGTGGAAGAATGAACCAATTCACAGACCACAAAATATTTCATCATTCAGCATGGGAAACAGCAGAGCTGTTGGCATGTCCCTGTCGTTAGTGTGCTGGGACCTTTCTGATCCAGCACCAAAGCAACTTCCTCACCTACAAAAGCTGAAAACACAGGCAGCACTAAGAGAGCCCAGAATCCCAACTGCCAATTTCTGCTTTCAAACTGACATATTAAATTTATAGAGAAACCTGTTCAACTAAAAAGATTTTTTCAGGAGATTCATGGGTGGCTCACGCCTAGAATTTTATTCAATCCATTCAAAAAATAGACAGAACTATAAGGTGGCACATATTGTCAGAGAGTACAAATGTCACATCTTTCTTTATACAGTTTAATTTAAATCCATAGATTAAGACAGTGAAATAATTGCCCCAGGCAGGAAAATAATTAATGATCTTCCATGAAAGGACAAATCTTCAGGTAGCATTTACACAAATGTATCTGGTTAAGCATAACTCTTTTTCTATCCTCTATAAAAATAGAAACAGCATCTCAAAATGTCTTTAGATCAGTATGTTAGCATTATCTAACATGGCATTCATGTACTGATGTCACATGGGGCCTGGGCATGTCAAACCATGTTTAGTAATCCATACCCAGCCAAAACAAAAGCCTTTTGAGTGAGCTTCAAACATAATACAATATAATGAAAGAAAAAATATCAACCTAAAGTATACAAGTACAACATTCCTCCTCCTATAGGAATTCCTTATCTTTATTTTGTATGTTTTTGTTAATATGGGAATGACTAAGACAAAAGTTGCAGTTTTGCACAAGTGAATTCTAACTCAGGATCAAGCACAACTCGTTTTTCCCAGTAATGTTGCTGGGAGGTGACATGTGCCAGGATCTAATTTTGAGCACTCACTGTCACCCAAGTTTTACCTGTGCAGTATTACTTGGACACAGACTGTACAGGAGGACAAGTGCAAATTACAAGGGCAGAGTCTTGGCTTCCCAGACAGCAGAACCAGGTGGTAAGACTAAGACTAAACAGTATTTTTAAGGCAAGAAGGAAATGAAACAAAAAGCCAACTCATCTAAATTTTAAACAGTGGGACGCAGGGTGCTCCTGATACAGCTGTCACAAATGCACCCGATGTTCCCCAGGGATGCCATCTGACAAGCTAAACACCTAACTGCTGTTGCAAGGACTTATTGGTTCAACACAGACTAAAATGTTTGGAAACACTGAATATATTGGTCACAAGTCTAATTGCACAATTTCCCTCTTCCCAATCCTAAATTTGTGTTGGAACAGCTTCTCCATCAGCTGTGTGTTTGTACAGCAGAGCACTACATGTTGTAACTGACTAGCACGTATGCCAACCGCAGCTGGTGTTCTCCAGTTAAAGGGATCTACAAGTGAGAAAGGAAACCCAGGGAAAGGGTCAGGTTTCGGATAGAGGTTGGACATTGAGAACTTTGGACAAAGTAACAGGTATCTTTGATTCTCCCGGTGCTGGCACTTTTGTGACTGGGCTGGCGTGGCCCTTGATGTCAGCTAGCCTCTCTTTAAATCTCTGCTGGAGGTACTTTTCTTCTTTGGAGTAGCTTTTGGCAAAAGCAGACATCATCAGGCAGGCCGCCACCACGGAGCCTCCGAGGCAGAAGAGGATCGCTCCTGCCAGCTTGCACACATCCAGGGCCCCGTTGAACTGCACAGCGCGGGCGTCCACCACCACGAAATCATCTCTCCCCAGGGCTTCGATTTTCGGCGGCACAAGGAAACCCACGACAAGAACTGTTAAACCTACCAGCATAAAAGCTGTCCCGGAGACGAGTCCGACCTGGGGGAGGGGGAAAAACAACAAGAAAAAGCACTTAATGTGACCTTCCAGTTTCTAGCATCATAGAATAATTTAGGTTGGAAGGGACTTCTAAAGGTCATCTAGTTGGTAAGTGGTCCTAGGAGGCATTTAGCTCTCATGGTGTCTTGCAGGCACAGTTTGCTCTTCTGGAAGGCTGGTGTTTTTCTCTTAGGTTGTATGTGGGCCTACCAGACCTAGAATATATGGAGAAATTGTCCTTTTACAACTCATATTTATAATTCATTATTGACATTTCTAGGAACAGTGAAATATGGCTCTATGTCTAAATAGCATTTCATGTCCAAGGGCCCCATCACAGAGAGCACCAGGGTTTGACCCCAGTGCTTTGTGACTGGTCATTTCTCTAGCTTTAGGTGGTGGTTAGCACCAACACTTCAGGCCCTGCTGATAGTCTGTCTCAGATCCACCTCTTGCTTTCACTCCATGAAATGTCATGTTCCTGTGCAGGGATCAGAAGGAAGGAAGCTGCTATTGCTGTGAAATGCTAGCACATTTCAAGTGTTGGTGTAAAACCTGCTTGGCACAGAGCAGTCCTGCCACCAAAGCAGAGAGGTTGGGTTAGATGGTCTCACAGGCCCCTTCCAACCTCTGATGTTCTTCAACTCTGTCAAGTTTCCTGACCTTAATGGAGATCTTGTGGTCACCCTGATCCCTAGATCAAACAGACCCTGAGTTACTGCTGTTAATCTACCAGCTCTAATCCCAGAAATCTGGCAGGACTATTGTGGGTGCAGAGCAGAGATGAACTACACCTTCATGCTGTGGGTGGGGTTTCTCAGACAAGACACTGATGTTTCAGTGACGTGGCTCCTTGTGACAGAGAAACTACAGGACCCAAAAACCCCAGAACTCTCTTAGAAGCTGTTCTACCTTGGTGCAGGCACCCTTCTTTCAGACAGATGGTTATTCAGTCATCTCAGGGAAAACTGAGCAACAGAAGGCCTTTCTGGATGAATACCTAAAATCCTTCGTTACATGAGAGAGTCTTGAAATGGGAATTTCTCTCGTCAGTCAACAGCAACGGGCAGTACCTTCCAGAAAGCAGAGCTCCACCTGCTAGGCGATCTCTGGATCTGAAAATCATCCTCATACTCCCAAATTGAAGCTGTGCAATCCTCATAGAACTGGTGCAGGTAGGACCGAACTCCATAGCGCTGGTACCCTCCCTCGGTGCTGCCCTGCACGTGCCTGGACCCGCAGAGGTCAGCACAGGAGCTCATCCTTCCCACCTGCAACGAGAGGTCCCACACAGAGCACAGCGTTACTGACCTGGCAAGAGGGGAAAGCTGCTGACAAACACACCAGGAGATGCTAAGGAAAGCAACCCAGGAGAGAACTTCCCTTCACTTTTCTCCAAACCAAGAAATGAGCCTGGCAGAGCTGCATGTGGTGACCCAGCTGAAGTGAAGCCAAGGTACTCAGTATCTTGGCCCAGCACAGCCTACAGGGAACATTCCCCCCCCATAATCCAGGTGCCTGCGCCCCATCTTCTGCACTCAAGTGCTCCTGCATTTCAGTGGAGGCTGAGAAGTCAGAATATATCTAGTAACAAAGGCCAGCATCCCTCAAGTGCTCCTGCTGCCTCTCACCCAGGCTGCTTCTATCGAGTAACTAGAGTTTACAACCTTAAGAACTTTCCAAATTGCTGAGCAAGGTGGTTTTTTTAAACGTTTTTGCCCTAGCTTTTGAAGTGCAGGACTAAGCATTGATGTAACAACATTCATAACCATGAGAAACAGAGCCAAAATAAGTCCTAGACAGGTTGAAACTGTACATATTCTGTACTTAAATATGGACAATGAAAAATCAAGAAGACAGAATCACCAGTCTGCTCACTGAAGAGAGTGAAATGGAAATACTGAAGTTGTGGCAAACCACTGCTTCCTTGGAGAAGTCAATGCCCAGGCTCCTGCCAACTTTAATGACATCAGAAGTCTGCCTGCTTTGAAAACTATCAGTGTTCCCTACTCTTCACACTTCATGGAAGATCCCCTAATTCTCTACAGAAAATCTGTATTTAACTATGCAGGTGCCAGGTCTGAATTTGCTTGCATGGGTGCGATGCTAGTGAATTCACTGAAGCAATACTAGCCCCTAAAACACTTGAGCAATGGGTCAATGTTACTCAAGCTGACTGACTTTTCGTTAAAGAAGTTCAGAAACTCTTAGTCCAAAGGGAACTGTTAATCAGTACTTTCATCTGAATGTCACAGCTCAACTGAAACCAGCTTAAAGCAGTTCATCTGATCGCTGCAACAATTTTGAGTGAAGGAAGGAAGGTTTAGCATGTTCACAGCAGCTAGCACCTCCCAATTTTGCAGCTGTACAGCCTTCAGGAATGTGTTATCTTGCTGGGTATGAAACACCCAAGTATGCCGGAAAACCAAACACTGCTGCATTTATATGAAGCAGAAGCTAGGAAGTATTGATGGGGAATGGCACCAACTGGAATGAGACTCTTCTCTGGCTCTGAAATCTCTGCTGGTGTAGCTGTGACCTTCCAGCCTTTTGGAATCTGGCTGCAGTTTTGGCTTAGGGATAAAGCACAGTTTGCTCTTCCTCTTCATAAAAGAAAAACAGTGATCTTCGTTTTTATTTATTTTGTATATCTAACGTTAATTTAGTTTGGGATTCTCAACATCTTATAATTGCAACTCTCTCTCTTGCAATTCATGATGAATTTTCAAGGCTCTCACCGACACCATGACCAAGTGGAGGAGGAGGCCCACGTGATGCTGGGGCCATAGCAAGGGCCAGAGCTCCCTCCAGGAGAAGGGAGGTGGGTGGGACAGTGCTAGTGACCTAGCTTTGCAGAGCTACAGTGGTGGGACAGCTGCTGGCAGGAGTCCCTTCTTTGAACACAGAACTGCCTTTGCATCCCTTGCAGGTTTCTCTTTCCCACTTCAATCACCATAAAGTGTTAGGAAATCAAAGAAGTGCTCTCCAACTCTGTGGATGGGCCTGCTCTCTGCTGATGGTACACCACCAGTACCCTCCAGTGTGCTCAAGGTGCTGGCCTTCCCAGGCTAGGCAGAGAAGCTGGCAGGGTGGACTGAGGCCTTGACACAGCAGGAGACTCCTGGGCAGCACCAGCTGCTCACCAGGTGAGCAGGGAGAGCCTGGCACCCAGCCCACCAGCCAAGCTGTATGCTTCCACTCCTGACATCTCCCACTACAGGTAATACATTGGAAAAACTCATTTTTTGTGCTCTGTTACAACGCTATGAGCTTTTCAACATGACTTTTTGAGGTACAAAAACCAAATAATTGTGGTGTGGATATAATTATATAATCTGAACTCTTGTGAGGAAATGCTGAAAGTTGCTCCTCTTGGAGCCCGCTGGCTCTTTTGCAGACAAGCTTTTTGTTTCCCATGGAGTCCTCTCTCCTGATGTTTATTCCCTACCTGAAAAGAGAGGAAAAGAAGTCCCCTTTTCTCACTGCCAGCATCATTCTACACTGACCAGCTGTCACCTTCCAAAGGACAAGCACTGAAGAGTTCTCATAAAACCAGAATTCTGCCCATCTCAAAAATACCACCAGTGCTTCATCGTCTCACCCTAAAGTGTTACCACAGCCACCAAGGCTCTCTCACATGCCATCCCATAGCCTGCATCTCAAGATAAAAGCAATTTATGTCCATGCCCCTCAACATATCTTTTGGTTATGAGTAAGCAAGCACTCCATCTCCCACAAGACAAGGGGCCAACCAAAGCTCTTCGGAGACTCACTTGCTCAGGTCCTTACTTCAATCTTTATTCTCACATCAACTCTACCTCCTTAAATAAATTATGCTTAACTCCTTGCCAATGTAAGTCTTTCAGGTAAGCATATTTAGCATCACATAATGAGCAGAAAGGGAGGTGATTTCCCCAGGTGACTCTATATAAGGTCAACACAGGAAGGACCAGACCTCACATGACCAGGTAACACAGCCCACCAAAGCTTGTTTGCATTAGTCCAGCTGCCACCAGAAGACAACTTTAGAGCTCCTTTGGTTTCTTCAGAATTCAGAAAGCAGCTGAAGTACAATGCTGGGCCTGAACCAGCAACTGTAGTTATTGCAATTAAGGTGACAAAAAGCTGTACAAACACCACCTTACATTTAGTGCATTCTCTGTAGGTTTAGTCAACAGAGAGAAAGAAGTTTGCAGTGTTTCTAACAACCTAATGAACCTGTAAGCCTGCAAGAACCACACAGCCTGCAATCAATTCTATGATAAATAGATTCTTCTTTAGCAATCTAAAATTCTAATAGGTGGTTCTGGTTAGGCATATGAGCAAAATGATAAATAAGAGCTGGGAAGTAGAACAGAAAAGAAAAGAATGATCTTTTGCTTGAGAGAGCTGTGATAGCATCAAGTATAATGACCTTTTAAAATAGGAAAAAAAAAGGACAGAAAAAAAAAAAGCACTGTCAGCATCCTTAATTCTTTTCAAGCACTGCATATCAGTACTACTGAATGTTCTCTTTATGCTCAGCCTCTTCCACACCCTCCCTCCTATCTTTTGCAAAATACCCTGTCCCTTAGAGACAAGAGAATAAGGCTCCCCAGCCCTACATGAGTCACTGAAGCAGCCCGGTAATTTGGCCTAAGATGGTCTCTTTCCTCAGCTGCAATGTAAACATGATGACGTTGTTCTTGCTACTTACAGATGGGGCAGAGGGACTGGAACAGGCAGATTACGGTGGGAGAAAACAGTTCTCCATAAATAAGAAGGAAATGCGTGTCACAGCATCAGACTACGCTGGATGAATAAGAGCTGCAGTGGCAATGATCTCTTGAGTGTTGATGTATGTCTCACCTTCGTGGCTGAGGAACCAACTGCTGAAATGCTGGGGAGCTTCTGCTAAAAAGCGTCACTATTACCCAAATCTGCTCTTACACATGAGCTCGGAACATGCATCCAGGCCACAGAAAATGGTTTAATCATTAAGTTTTTCATTGCCTAAACCCAAGGTGCCAGGGAACACGTGGATGTATGATTACGGCTCCAGCACACACCACTGCTCAGTGGCAATCCATCCCCTAGCAACTTTTGTTTCCATGGCAAAAGCCATCCTGTTTACTTGGAGCTTTACTATTCTCCACTGATCTGGCGAGATGTGACTGGATTGGTGAACAGGCAGATTAAGAGATGAGCAAACTGCAAGAAAAATTACCCAATAAGTTTTCCAACTACTTTTCTATCTTACGGAAGGGTTGGACACATTTAATAAAAAAGGTAAGGAACAGGCATCTGGAAGGCAGGATGAAACAAATGGGGGTGTGCATTGACACCGCGCAGCCACCAAACACAAGCC